CAGGACAGAATTTGTTAAGTCCTCCGTAACTCCACTGCACCGCCATGTATTTCATGAGGTGATTTACATTAGGCGAAATGTAATGCTTATGCCTACTCATATTTGAGAAATGAGAATATATGTGGGGATTTTGATATTATTCTTGCGGGATGACGAGAGGCCTGGAGGGACGCGGGGATGGCGAGTAATAAAGGTCGGTGGACAGCGCCATATTTTACAGGAAAGTGACGCTTATAAAGTCTTGGAGTCAGTGGGAAGAAAGGGCAGGATATAGTCTTCTTTTATAGTGTCTGGTAGGCAGCCCCCCATTTGAGCTCCCATCTGAATTCTGAATATAATGTAATGTGATCTATGACATGTTATGTGATGGGCACTTCCCGTTGTTTGTAGGTGAAAGCAAAACGAGGAATCTAAAATCCCGAGAATTCCAGCCGCCTCGTAAATTGTCATTATTCAAAAATTGACCCGGAGAGAATTCTTTCCTCCCTCCGAGGCGAATGGACAATGGGCTGCGGAAATGGCCTTTTTCTTTTACAAACTGCCAGAAATGGACAATGAGAGTGTGTAACATTTATTGTAATCTATTATTATGGATGATAAACAACTGTTTTTATTTCTTTCGAGATGCACTTGCTCCCAGCACACGGATCCTGCTCACTAGATATATCCATATATAAAACAGCGTATGTATAATGGCACATTGCGCACCATAATTACAGCCGCCTCGTGCATTTTACTATAAATCCCTCAATGCATTGTAAAATCCTTAATTTTTTCCTTTATGATCATGTGCTGCAATGTTTCCAAAAATATAATTGCATTTTGGTAAATGTCCTCGTAAGCACAGGCCCCTTCCAGCCATAAATTCAGACTAATGTTGTCAAATCCACGTTAATTTGAAATTTCTGAATGACATCTATTACAATAATGTAATTTAAAAAGTTGTGTCATTACCAAACAAAGACTTGGATAAAATAAATTGGGCGAACTTTGACAGTTTCAATTCTTCTCGACCCAAAGTTGAGGATTGAAAAGCTCTCATACATATGTATATACCTACTTCCATTGACTAGTATGAACCTGATACATAAGCTTCATCATATCATACATTCCTAACAGTTGGTGTAATTTCACAGGGAAAATAAATTTGTTTGGGGTCACCCACTGTATGCCAAATGTTGAAATATAAATTGGACATATACACAACCAGTCTGGTGTTTCAAGAGACTATAAAGTATACTTTGCATGCATGCATTTATTCATTTCATGTATTTATGCAGAGGCCAACTTAACTTACACAAAGAGTTCATCGTCCTTGGGTCAAGTTATAAATAGCTGATGGTGCTTTTGGTATGGCTATTATTAAACTTGGAAAAACTTTGTAAAGGGTTCAATTGCAACCTGATTTTGTCCCGCATTAGAATTCAAATACATAAATCCTTGCTATAAAATCTTCAACGTAACTATTAACTCAAATTAATCTCATTGTTAAGCTCTGAAATGGTTTGCTTCACTGGTGATGTTCTTCTTGCTGAGGTAATTGCAATATTTGATTTGGAAGCTACCAACTATACACCATAAGTATTTTGTGTAAATTTATACGATGAGTTGTGAAACACTGTAACGTATACAATGTAATACATATACGATACAATGTAACAATAGAGTAGAAATATTTGTAGACTGAAAACACGGATTCTGAGGTTCGAAAAGTTATTGAAGCTTTGAAACAGGCCAAGAGTAAGTGGTGATTGACAACCGTTTTCATAATTTAAATTTAGAATACAGTGGTAAGAAGTTCAGTTATTTTCAGTGGACTATCACAAGAAGCTAACGGAACTAGCTGACGAGGCGGATAAAATTTTGAAGAAGGGAAGCATTCAGTCAAGTCAGTTGTTTAATAAAAATTACGTTTGTCAAGACTGGAAAATCGTTGTTTTTTTAAATTGTAATATACTTTAAGTTGAGGAGAAAATTAACTTCATTGTTGAACATCGGGACATGAGACGGGAAATGCGACGCGTGGACGGGGACTGCAAGGATCTTGGGGAAACCTACCAAATATAAATTGTCTGATTGCTAGAATTGGTTTAGAAAATAGTCAAAACTATTTTTTAATTATTTGGCCTCTGAAGTTTTCATTTCCAAAATAAGAATTCAATAAAAATCGTCCAATGTGACAAATTTCTGCTGAATTGTTCTGGTCCAGTGTGACAGCCGTTAGCCATATGCATGATTTCTAATTCCTGGTAGATTCAGCACTTTTTCACGGAGGATGCGAAAGGAGGAGGAAACGAGGAGCGCAAGTTTTCCATTTCTTGAAGAAGCATTACATTAGATTATGGAAGAAGGAACATTATATTAAGAGGAGATCAAAGGAGAGGAGAATGATTGGGATGAATACCATGAAAGAAATCCTCTCTCCAATTCTTTGGATTTTTGGTACATTCTACATTCTGACTGCTGGCAACTAAAGTCAAACATTTTATCATGGCAGCAGGGAAGAAGGGAGTCATGAAAGATGGGATAATTGAATAAAGAAAAGTTTTCTGCGATTCTTTGCGAATTCTTTATATATTTCCTCATCCCTTCAACAAACTAACTCATCTTTGATTCCAACTCCAACGCAAAGCCAAACTATGAGTTTAGTTTTATGATAAAGATACGCTCATTGTCAGCCTCGAAGGACCGTCTCACTGACCACGTGGTCAACCCATCATGCGCAAGAAGGTCACAGTCCGACTCGTCAGAGTGAAATGGCTCAGACGGTGGGCTCGAGTGGTGTGTGTTTGCTCCCCGGAAGTAAAATGAGGGTGGGAGAAAGTATCTCGTATAGAATTTGGTTGTTCTCGTCTACTTCTTGGTCCTCCTCTACATACTCGACTCGTAATTCTTCAAAGGATTGGACGGAGAGGAAGTGCTCTTTTTTGAGGGAGGCATTCCCCAGACACGGATTTTTTCTCGAAATGACTTATTGTTAGTGTTAGTGAGCAACTTTGGTTAAACATTCGGATAAGAAACTGCCTCGAGGAGAAAATCTTTTTAAAAAAGTCTTTGAGTCATCATTGTCAGAATGGGAAAAGTAAAATGCAAGTTTTTAGAATACTTTTACCCCGCATTTGCGATCCTTCTGTGTAGAAACTGCCCGGCTCCGGGGGAATTTGTGCAGGGCTCCCCCGTGCTCCAGCCATTTCTCAAATCATATCATTCGCTACCTAATCTAATGCGTAATTTTATAAATCATTCTCCTCGCCGTTTAGGCAAAGTGTGATAAATTGAAGCACTCAACGCGTGGGACGAATAAGCTCACTGCTCCCGATGCTGCCGTAAATATATTTCTGGTTTCGACTGGCTTGGGCTGAATCCCCAACAATAAATCATACTTACCATACACGCAGCAGGACGGCTGATGACTTATCTCCTTGTTTCTGAATAACTGGATTCAACTCCACTTGATAAACAGTTTTTTTAATAATTCCGAAACCAGAGTATTTTTAATCGAACCAGAGACGCGCTTTCACTGAAGTAGTGAGAGTCAATTCACGGAATTGAAATGTTGGTCTGCATAATAACTGCACCCATGAAATGAACCATGTAACAACACCAAAACAGAGTCGTGGGTGTGTGGGAGTGTCAATCAACTTTATGTTTACAAATATTGCGACAGAACCTGTCGCAATATTTGAGACGCTTTTCTTACTTCAAAATATTGCTAAGCATGTAGCCCAAATCGTGATATCCGAGATGAACTCTGAGATCAGACTAAGCAGAAGTGTATCATTTGGAATTCACCCTTTTCTGGAAATCTCTACACCTTAAAACTCCACAAAATCAATGTATCTTGAATGAATAAAATGGAATAATGGATTGATAACGTAGCATTGGATTCTAGCATTGAAGAGATGCATTGAATTTTGGGAGTACTTTACCCTTTTTCATTTATGCTGAAAAAATCATAAAAATGGGTTACAATATTTTTCTCGTAGAATTTCTGAATTGTGGGAATCGAAACCCCGTAGAAATCTGTGGGAACGGACGGATCTCTTAAAAAACGGAACGAACCAAGTATTGACAATCCATAGGAAATAAATGAGCTTAATTCAACCCTCGAGAAAGGAGTAAAAATGTGAAAATCTTGAAATGTGGAAAACCCTTTCCCAGTTTTTGCTACTTTTAGGTTTACACCTGAAATTAGCATTTTGGGGTTGAAATGGCCAAAAGGTGATTACATCTTGTAATGCGACTGGAGATAAAGCCGGGCCTGTGGTGAGGACTGCGACCGGCGAATAAGTCTCGATTCCTGGAGTTTCTCACGAAATAAATTCAACCCATTTGTTGCTCACGATGAAAGGATTAGAGTTGCTCTCAAAAAAGGATTCCTTTTCCAAATTCACGGATTCAGAACGAGATTCATTCACCCCTTTGTTACGCACACGGCCAAGTATGCCAAGTGTTGTGGAGCTTGGGGAGAGCGAGATGGGGAGACGGGCAGAGGTGTAATGGGGCAAAAAGGTGAAAAAATTTGAATGCACGGAATAATAGAAACTTCAAAAATCCACAAAAGTGTTGCCCTTTGATATTCCATACTAGCATTTTTTGTCACAAAAGTTTTTTTTAGATGCGCTTTTGTCTCGCTTCTTGTTTTAGGCATGTTTACTCCATGATTTCATGCAGGTTTCAACAAAATTTAGTATTATGCAATATGAACATTCATCTCTTCACATCTGCCGAATTCATTAATCAGAGCTACAATTTACAATGACTGAGATACAATTCGGCGCAATATGGATCCGGATTGCTAAATATTTCAAGTACCACTCTCCACTTTAAACAGAGGCGATTTGTTTCAGGATCTCATCTAACAGACAAGAGATCAGAGGAACTTGAGACTTTTTGGAATGCATGGGACATCAAACATCAGAATTTCACATGTCCAACATCATGAAAGCCAAACATCAAAGCAGGTTCACTGTAAGGAGAATGCATCCATAAAACTCGTAGCTTCACCACCTATCTTGTAACTACATATTTTAGGCATTTACGTACGTATATAAGTAGATGTAAACCTACTGATTTAGATAAAAGCCAACTCGTTCTAGGGTCAATTTATAAATAGCTGAGAGTATTTAAGCCGTGCTATTATTAAACATGGGAAACTTGAAGGGGTTTAGTCGTCTCATTGCCACCTTGGAATACAGACCATCAACTAAAATATTCAAAATCTCATTATCAAAGTCTGAAATGGTTTGCTTCATCGGTGATCCACTTGCCGAGGTAAATTACAAGTATTACTAATTTGCCTGCATGGTGTGCATTTTGTACAGTTTCATGCAGGATATTGACCAAAACTTGCATGACTAAAGCCGCATACTTGTGTGGAATTATGCTCATTTACAGATATGATAATAAAATGTATGGGATTCTGGTTTATCAATGCTCGTATCAAGACTAGCTGAATATTTGACCATGCAGTGATACATTCATATTTGCCTTGACATTAGAATGAAGAAATTAGCAAAAATGTGAATTCATTCGTTTCTAAATAGTAAATGAAATTGAGTCTTGCTTACTCTTGAGCTGAACAACTTCAAAGAACTTAAACCAAATCAAAGAAAAAATCTAATTTTGCAGGTTACTGAAATAGACCCAAGAGTTCGTAAAATAATTCAGGACTTAAAACAAGCCAAGAGTAAGTGCTTCACCATTTTCGTAATTCAAAACTTGAATGTTGTATGGTTTATTATTATTGTATTAAGATTTATAGTTATGAGTTTGTGCAGAGTGAAAATTTTTGGAATACAAATTCATTTATTTCAGTTGACTACCATAAAAAATTAGTGCAGCTTTCTGAAGAAGCGGACAAGGTGCTCAAGGAGAGAAACATTCAGTCAGGTCAGATTTTTAAACGAAATGAATATGCCTAAATTTTATTAAGCCAGATAAATCATTTGTTTAATTTTACATAACTTCAGATGAGGAGAAATTTAATTTCACAATCGAATATCGTGACATGCGGAGAGAAGTCGCTCGAGTTGGAGTGGACTGCAGACTCCTTGGAGAAACCTTTCCATGATTTATTGTGAAATGAAAGCTTGGTCATTGACTTGTTGATTTCCATATTACTTATGTATTAAATAAAAATCTTCATTTGGAGAAGTTTCTACTCAAAAATCAAGTATTTTATATATATGCTACGATATACTTATTATGGTACTTTATAATTTATGGTTCGGTAGGTGTAATTTTTCAGTGTTAGGGAGAGAATACGGCGTAAGTTTGTCATTTCTGTGAGAAGCATTATACGATGAGAGGAGTAGGAAAGAGGAATGTTATATTAAGAGGAGACAATTAAGTGACTATTTCCATCGTGTCTTGCAGAATGCTGCTCTAAAAATCAAACCAGGAGTCGCATGTGTGTACTGACTGTAAACTAAACGAGTTCAAATCAAACATTGACTTTGTTCCTTAATGTAATGGCAACCCTTCCTCCTTCTTTGTGGCAACTAATGAAATATTTTCTACGTCTCCTCAAAATAGCCAACTTTGATTCCCATTCTCTTTGCTACAGGCAGCAGCAGTGGTCGTTGTGAGCGAGTTTGCTTGTATAAAATAAATTGACTATGTACTCGAGGTCTTCTGAGACAAACTCCAAAGTCAACAGCGTCTTGATTGAGGTTGTATTATTGAGTAAATGACAAATTTAATCAAAGTGGGCTCTCTCAAAACGAGGCAGATGGACCCATACCTTAAATACGTGATGAGATTGGAGACATTCTGCTCCCACTTTAAACTCTCCGTGTCCTCGTCGCTTGCTTATGTAACGCTTGTGTAAAGATTCTGCCTGCTCATCATACGCTATTCCATTCTCTGCCCAGGCGACTATCCCATCTCGTTGCTTTAGGTACTTGGAGCAGTGATCGGGTAGCGGAGGGACTACTTTCCCTATTTCCTCTCTCTCTCCCTCTCAAAGGCTGAACATTTGAGCCGGCCGATGATGATTCCACTTGAAACGAGATTATTTCACCAAATTTGAGATATTGGGAGAAGGCTAATTTGCTAAAGCAGTCGACTCCATCGGCAGAGGGAGAGCATGACTAACGGCTAATTCTTACCCAAAAGGGTTACTCATCACTCTCTCGTCTCAAATTATCCTTTGGCCTCCATGAATTCCATCCATTCATTTGTCCACCACTTGAAGATGAAGCTAAATGAAAATGACAGAACTTTTAGTCGGATAAACTCCTTCCGGTCCGAACCACCCCCATTCACTGCTTGTCCTAATAAGTGCATGCACAGAGCTTCCCTCAGCCTCACATCAAACAAGTCCTCCACTTTTTTATGAAAGAAGCCTTTGGCGTGATGATACGAGGTTCAAAATTCGGCTTGGACGCTCTCATAAATAAATCCGAGTAAAATAAATGAATAGGAAGGCGAGGCAACAACGGTCCGTCGAAATTGGCTTAACAAGCAGGCTTGGAGCTATTGACTATGGATGGAAAGTCTAATATCCAACTAATGGCGAGCTCATTAATCTGGAAATCCAGAGAAGGGATTAATCTGCTGGTGGAGGCTCAGGCAGAATTTTTATGCTCTCTCTCCGAATAGCGATCGAGGCAGGCGGGGAAGGAGGGAGGCGAAGGAGAGAAAGATGATGAATTCCGTAGAAAAATTCGTATTCCTATTTCGTAAGAAAATAATGAGACTGAGAGCATTAACGGAATCTGATCTGCTTTCCCTGAGCAGATGGATGGCGTAGCGAGAAGGAGCGGATCCCACATTCATCCGTCCTCCAATTTGTGTACACGACGCGAGGATTAAAATCCACATTTCCCCTGCCTTGACACGAACCTGGTCCGATACGACATGGTGTCTGCTCGACGGAAAGTATCTGAATGCTGAATGTGCAGGTATGGGAATGTGATTAGCGATATATAAAACATGAGCCGGGTAGAGGAAGTCAGTCGCCTTGTGAATATGCTTCCTCTCCTCAAAGCCCCATGGACACGAGGAGAAAATGCCAAGATTTATATGAAAAGAGCCGTGTGTAATCTGGAGGAGCAAGTTATTTCCGAAAGACGGGGAGCATAGGGCATCATTATTATTAAAAGAAAGCCATGGCCAGCAGAGGCATGTGTGGAATACATATGTACACGTCGAAATAATATCGACACATGGATTCCACATCCAGAAGTTGCTCTCTCTCTCTTCACATACGTACATATGTGCGGAATGGGTCAAGAAATGGCAAGAAATTCAGAAATTAGGGGCTCAGGCAACCAGAGACCTTCATTAATCACAGACTTTGACTATGCTCCACTCTCCTTAGTCCAGATTTCTTTGATTGTTAACAATCAGCAACAGCCCGTAATATTGAGCACACAAGTAGTGAGTGGAATTAGTACCCCATAGCAGTTAGCCCGTAGTGTGCATAAACCATGTCCTCCACACCACTGAGACAAACTGCTGCCTAATAACGACAATAATCTCCAACCATTTGAGTTTGATTCCCGTGGAGAAATATTTGCATTTGGTGTGGTGAAGGAGTTGGACGCTCTGGCGGAGTTCACACTGGCGGAATAATGTGGGGGAGGAGGAGGCAGAAGGGCCCCGTCAATTGGGATGATAAAGAACTTCCCTTTGCACACACTAATAACACAAAGGATGCAGAAGTAAAAAGGAAACATTTCTTTTTGCATTGTTCACTTGCTCCTCCATTGCCTAATAAATTAACGACGACTTTCTCCCAGTTTCCCAGCCCCTCATCATCCTCCAACAACTGGCCACTATACCCCATGCACGTATGTATACTGTACACTGCCATTGCCACCATGTACTACTGCGTCTCGGCGATGCTAGGATAATATCAGGTGCACACATCATCCATCATCCACCCAAATCAAAGTTGGATTGTTATAAGTTTTCTGCTAGTCTTCCAAATTATTGCTTCTTGGAAATTAATGAATTGGAGCCCATCCAATCTTGGCAAAAATTAAGGAGCACCGAGTCCACCCACCAACATGGAGGAGCAGGAAGTATGATTAAGTGAAGACTTTCAGGTTAATGTGCCCGAGACAAAGAAAAGAGAGACTTTTGTTCCATAAGTGATGAGAATTAATGCGGCAGATTTTCCTCCATTTCCCATTTCTTACTCTGCCTCCTTCTACTTATGTACTACTACACAACCTGCTTTTCCTCCAGGTTTGCTTCTCTCGGACGCCGTGCCACGGTCTCTTAATTCCGACTACGGGCATAATACATATGTACGCAACCTTCGTTAATAGAGGACGACTGATCGTGGTGGTGGTTAAGATGCGACTCTCCCAGAATGGAAAATGAACAATTAGGATTCGCGTCACTTGAGAAGCTTCATTTTTGTCTCGTCTGTGTGTTGATGTCCCTGAGCAGATGAGTTGATCCCCACCACTCCACCTGAGACCCGTGTGTGTGTGTTATTGGTGATTGTCTTGGATATTCCGATCAAGTTTTCTCCCCAGAAGAACAAAAGTCAAACGCAGATCGTGCAAAATGGATTAGATTGGATTGGGCTGGTTGGAGATGAGGAAACGTCCCTTTGTAGCGTCTTGGATAAATTATACGTGTATTTGTACTTATCAAGAGAAGGAAGCTGATGGGGAGCGGCGGCGGCGGGTAAATGTGATGATGAGTTGATGAGACGAATCCAGAGAGCAGTTGACGACTCGCTCCTTCATTTTGGACAATAAGTTCCAAAGTTGTGCGCTACATACATATGTACAGCCTCGCTCCTCATCTGACTAGTCGTGCTCGTCGTGGTCAGGATGGAGATGATTCCCAAAGTTCGGATTATGTGCTCCAGAACGAATGTGTCCACACCTTGCGACCTGTTAGCCCTGCATTTATTTTTCGATATGAGCACAAAGTGTGGGGAGCCCTCTCCTTTGAATGTGAAACTGTGGAAGGAGGAATTACGACGCCATGCGAGGGAGATGATGTGAGAGAGAAGGAAGAAGAGGAGGCAGGCATGGAATACCAACCATTAAAACTGTCACCCAAATTCGCATCACGTATTTATTGTATGCCACAACTCTCCAAAAAAGTTGCAACTTTGTTTTAGTTATAGGCAACTCATTTCAGAAGCGGTGAGTGGACGCGGTTTAATAAAATGGAGCTTTGACCAAGAGGCTCATACGAACCCCAACATCGCCTCAATTACTCCGTATACGCAGCCCCCACTTTCACTCACCAAGTCACAATTGACTCGAGGTGTGTTAAACGGGTTTCGCACCCAGTACTAAATACAAGCAGAGTCGTCCCACCAAGCCACCATGCCCACACGAATTAGAGGAGAATTCTACATTACATGCAGAATTTATGAGCAGCTTTAATTTGTAGATTGCAGAGAAGCGAGCGTTGGTGGTGGTGGAGGAAAGGAAATATTTTTGGCATTCCAATTGCAGGAAGCAGCGGAGAGAGCTGCCATATCTCTCTTCCAGCTCATCATCATCATTATCATCATCAGTTAGAGCATTCCCATTATCACCATCTTTATACATTACGCTTATTTTCTCCCTGCCAAGAAGCTCATTGCCAACCACGGGAGAAAGCAGAAGGCCGCGTGGTGGGGAGAGAGAACGTGCCTTCACATAAAACAGACCTCCACCACATTCACCCACCAAAGCTTCACATTTATCAAATTAAACATCACACCAGCCAAGAAGCATGCCACCACCGCCAAACTTATCATCACACCAGGCCGCGTCCAACCAGAATTACCATTCAGAATACACAATTGTTCATTAAGATAATGTGCACGAGGAGACAGTGATATGCATTCAGATAGTGGGGTACGCATGGATTTCCAGGGAATATGTACTTCTTAAAAAAACTCGGAAAAGAGATCGCCACTCTGACCATATTTCTTGGAGGACGACGTTTGGACGTGAATATGTATTTTTTACAGTAAAGTTTGTATATGATCTTTGTAACATGATGACCACACCGAACGGCTACACACCGTCAGAGAGCGAGAGAGAGAGAGATGACATGTCTGTGTGTGAGCGTATTACTCTCGAGTCGGTAAATGGGTGGGCGACAACCTGACACCGCGACACTTGACACTTTTGAAATCGAACGTGGACAATACGTAAATCCCTCGTGGTTGACAGACATTTCGATTTCCAACTTGGTCGCAC